ACTGTCTTCCATGCTGAGCCTGAGCCATCATGTATCATTGAAGAGGATTTACATAAATTTAGTGGAGCTAGATACTTTTTCTGAATTAGATTTGACTAAGGCTTAGTAACAGGTACTCCTTCTAACCAAGCCAAATCATTTGACTGCATTTCCATCTCATCGTGGTCTTATGGAATTTACATGACTTCCTCTTGGTCTCATTAAGATCCTTTCTTGGAATGGTGTCTTTTTATAGGACTTTTATACCCAATGTGTCTTCATTGACACATTAGGTCGCTTGTCAGACTTATTTAGAAAGGGTGTAAAAAAAAAGAAAAAAAAATCGGCAAAAATCTTCGGATATGTCGATTTTGAGTTACATGCATTTTGACTGACTGCCCGAGTCTCCCCTGAAATTTTGAAGTCCCCCTTGCATTTTCTATGGTGGTTGCTGCCACCTTAGATATACCTCAAAAATATTATGATTTTTCACATTACCTTCGAAAATTGGAAATTGCGACGTAACAAAATAGACATAGAAAAAAAATAAGAGTATCTTTAGAAAGCATATAAAATTCTACAAAACATGAGACCAACATGCATTTTTTATGAATATAAAAAAAAAATTTGAAACCAATTTTTTAATTAAATTCATGAAAAATGATATGCTGTTTTTAGACAAGCTTTTATTTTTTTTAGTTTGCATGATGTTTCGTCAGTTTTATCCTTCAGCAAAATGCCTTGAACATAATACCCCCCCCCCCCAAAAAAAAAAAAAAAAATGGGGGTACTTTTAGCCTATGCGAGTTACCCGCTCGAAGATGTATTTTTTACTTATATTCATCATTCAGTCAAATGACTTTCTAGTCGATTATATTTTCGGAAAATTCTCAAAATACTAAAAAAGCAATACACATACACTAAAGGTCATCAAATACACGGTACTGATCTGTATCTGCATGGGAGCTTTCAGCAGGACAGGGCGTGGGACCTGTGATGCGAGCAGGGGCAGGCGCACCACCTGTGGGACGAGTGGGGCGGGGCGCGCCACCTGTGGTACGAGTGGGCGGGGTGCGCCACCTGTGGTACGAGTGGGGCGGTGGCGCGCCACCTGTGGTACGAGTGGGGCGGGGCGCGCTACCTGTGGTGCGAGTGGGGGCGAGCGGGGCGGGGCACGCCACCCACGGTACGAGCTACAAAATGAGCCATCAAACATTTTTTTCGGACTAAAATTGTGTCTAAAATCGTTGACGAAGACCACAAGAGTAATGTCCCAAGATATCAGCATTTTTGGGTTTTCGTACATTTTCATAGCTGTTTTGGTATTAACAAAATTAGGTATTAGAATAATCTTCCTATAATATAATCCCCTATGATTTACCTTCATTGCGAAGTATTGTGGAAATTCCTAGTAAGTAATAGTATCTCACTAAACGACATTTGTTATATTAGGGTCACAACGATTTGTGGTGTCTATAGGCCTACATTGACCATTTCTAAAATTTTCTAATGAATCGCCCAAAAATCATAGTCATTCTGATTTCATATCTGAATAGCACAATCCTTCAACTATAATATACGGAAGCAAATTTTAGAAGTCGACCCTTGTCATTTTTTTTTTTTTTTTTTGGTGAATAGATTACAAAGATGACTGTTTGAACAGTCCAAGTAGGCTATTTTTAATATGTCGCTTTTATAAGAAGCAATTGAAAATATTGCAAAAAGTAAGTGCAACAAGCACAAGATTGTTTATTTAGCTACAAAATGAGCCATAAAACTTTTTTTTTTTTTTTTTTTTTTTTTTTTTTTTTTTTTTTTTTTTTAACCAAAATTGCGTATGCTTTCGTAAGTTATATCAAAATGTCAAATGATGAATGTAGGTAAAAAATACATCTTCGAGCGGATAACTTGCATAGGCTAAAAGTACCCCCATTTTTTTTGGGGGGGGGGGGATTATGTTCATTTTGCTGAAGGATAAAACTGACGAAATATGGTGAAAAAAAAGCTTTTCTATAAACAGCATATCATTTTTCGTGAATTTTATTTAAAAAAAAAATGGTTTCAATTTTTTTTTTTTTTTTTTTTTTTTTTTTTTTTTTTCCATAAAAAATGCATGTTGGTCTAATGTTTTATAGAATTTTATATACTTTCTAAAGATACTCTTATCTTTTTCTATGTCTATTGGTTATGTCACAATTTCCAATATTCGGAGGTAATGTGAAAAATCACAATATTTTCGTGGTATATCTAAGGTGGCAGCAACCACCTTAGAAATTGCAGGGGGGACTTCAAAATTTCAGGGGAGACTCGGGCAGTCAGAAACTCATTGAAAATGCTTGTAACTCAAAATTAACAAATCCGAAGATTTTTGCCGTAAAAACATCAAGTGAACAACTAAATAATTTTGAACAAAAAGTTGCTCTTTCTAATGATCCAGTACTCAAGATCCCTGACCGTAACTTATTTTTTGTT